TTTTTTCTTTCTTCGCTTATATTTCGCTAGACAAAACTCTTTACTTCGAATGCTACCACTCTATCGATGGGCGAAGTCTCGACGAACTTGAATTTTTTCTTGCCTTTTGGAGAAGCTTTATTATAACCATGTGGGAGGACGAAAACATCTGTGTTTTACACCTTATCGACAGAGCTCTTTCTTTAGACTATCGGTAGTCAACTGATAGCGCAAGTTTCAGTGATTCCAACGCTGCGCTTATTCTCTGGAATTACCGTTTCACTGCAGTGTTGTAGGGAAAGAATATCGATTTCACATATTCGGCAGCTTCTTCAAGAGATACGGGCCGGAGGAGGGGCTATCAGTCGATGACTTGACAGAGTAGACATGTGGGGTGCAGTTTGTAATTAAACTAAGATTTTATACTCCGCATAAAAACAACATCTATACAAAGCTTTGAATCGATACTACGAGACTTCCTCTAAACTTTAATATGCTTTTCGTGCTTCCATCCAATTGTAGGCGCGATAAAAGTGAGAGCGTGCGGCCAATGTAAAACATTTTTTCGAACTTTACAGCGTTCAAGAAGACTTCTGACAAACGATCAAGTAGGGCTGTAGCCACGGATTTGAGCTTTCGAATGATGACTGGCACTTGCTTCGATTTTCTTTTTGCTTCGCACTGAAACGTTTGTTCTTTACCCTCGTTTAGGGCAGATTCTTGCAGTCACTTTGACATATGAAGTTTATACATATGTTTTGAAATGTAAGTGCCCCGTGGAATAACAACGAAATTTTACACTACACGACTACCGTTCAAGTTCAAGTGCTGCATTACCATTAAGCGATGCTTGTGTAGCGTCAACAATCGTCTTTACTTTTAGCACAGGTCCATCTGGAAACAAATGAGTATGTGTCATATATCGAAATAAAAGCAAGACGCGTCTCTAAACACCAACAAAAACTAAACCTCAAACGAATTTCTTATCAATTCAGTAAGAGAGTTTAGCGATGTGTTAATACATACAATGACAAAATGAATTTTCTAAAACCAAAAAACATTTCTGAGATAAGCTTCTACAGCATTTGTTCTGTTCAGTCACTCTTCCTTTCCATTTATTCGCGTACTCTTGCAGCTTATCCAGAAGGTCTCAAGAGAGTGAGAAACCACTGAGGTCTTCTGGATGAACCGCAAGAGTCCACGAATAATTCGAAGAAGATGGTGTCTGAACATAACAATTGACCGAAAACCTTATTTATATCTGTTCTTCTATTTCAAATAGGACTCAAGACCATTTTTTTTTTGTGAAAAAACATTGGCAAATCGACCTACACGGGTGAAATTTGGTATTGGTGGGTTACATGTAATCGAGGAATATTGATTTTTTCATTAGATTGCCATCAAATTAAAGTATGATGAGTGAATAAGTAAACATCATAAGGTATAGAACGCCTTCTAAGCTTTAAGGAAGGTGTAATCAGCAAAATGTTAGCCACTTGAATGGAAAAATGCCGATCTCGTACAAATTCTATTCAGAACCTCCTGTTTGACTAGTATAGAGGTTGAAACTAATGAAATTTGCACAGACTAACCCTACATTTTGGTACAACCGCAAAGGTGTCGTCAGGTGGCATGTTGTCGAGCGAAAAATGAAAAACGCTCGTCGTCTTTTATTGGAAAGTGATTTCAGTAGCTGTAAAAAAAAAAAGCCTGAAGGTGACCAAATGGACGGCAAAAGACATATTTCCCTCAACGGGAACTACTGTAAACAAGTCATAATTGACACACTATGACCTCAAAAATTGGTAGAAACACCGAGATGCATTTGCGATGAGAAAAAATTAAAGGAAACGGTCTATGGAGATGAGATTACGGAGGAACTCGGAAGGGTTTGCGCTATCCGCGAGGCCGCCAACGATGAGATCTGAAATTGGCGGGATTGGCACGGCCGAGATCCGTGGCCGAGTGGCCCGGGAGTCACGGCGCCACCCGACGATAGCCGGTCCCGAGCACCATTCGGTAATCAATAGCGGTAGCCATACAAAACGGTCCAGGACGGCTGTCCTCGAGATTGCAAGGAGATGTGCTTCAGCAGTATCTCAGACGTTAATTCGCTTCATGCAATATTTGTCTTCTTCATGATGATTCTGATACGTGTGGTAATCTACTGATCAGCATTCAGTGACATCAGAAGAAGAGAAACAAGGATCCTCATTAGTCGAACCCACGGCCGAATAAGAAGACTTGGATAACAGATGTTAGCAAAAAAATGATTCTGCACATAAAAAGGCTTACAAGGTCACTACCCATCGTGAAGCTGAGACGCTGAAGAGTAACATTTGTTAACACAGTGAAGAGTGCTTGAAAGCTAAGATCAGTCCTTCGCGCAGACAATTTTTGCTTGATTTATAACGAAAAATCGCATGTTAAAAAGATAGAAGGCACTATCGCATAATCGACGTTCTCGATGAATAAGTAAATAAACAGAAAAGATAAAATGTCTTATTATCAAAGGTGAGAATAAGAGAATGCACACTGTTATTCACATCGTAATAACAACCGAAGAAGAGAATGCGCGCTGAGTTCAAAACTCAATCTTTATTTGGCTGCTGCAGCACATTTAGAAGTCTTTTTCAAAACCAAGTGCTCCACTGAATTATCGAGAATGCGCTAACGAATGATTAATGAAAGTGTGAAAGAAAAGCTTTATTCAGCAAAAATACTTGAGTGTGAAATAAAAATTTAGTTCTGCTGTTACAGCACGATATGAAATCCATTTAAGAAATTAAGTGCACCGTTCCAGTTCTTGAGATTCAAGCTGTCAAACGGCCACCAAAATTTCAAAAGTTAGTGGAAAATACGCTTTTTAGATACGGGTGTAGACAGGAAAGACACCGAATCTCCAGTTACATTTACAATAACAATACATCTTAGCACTTTGAAACATTGTAAACTGTGAAAACTTCTACATTTCCTTCTCTGAAGTTCAATCAAAGATGTAAAATAGACTTTTAATCAGCAGCTGCTAAAACTTTCGGAAGCAAGATATTTTCACTGAAAACGGTTTGCAAGTAGCGGCAGTGACACGAAGCAAGATGTCTCAAATTGCCGATAAGACAGAAATTTGCATTTCAATTACAGCGTAGGTGATGCTTAGCGTAAGACTTCCACGTATGAATTAAATGTACCCTTTACCGAAGCGTACAAGCGCTTTGCATTATTCTCATCAAAATGATTTACAGATGCTAAGTTTCATCAAAGTCTCTTGCAAGGTAGAATTGCATATTTCGAAGATAATTTTAACCATCCTAATTGATATATTTTCTCTACCATATTTATTTACTTTTATTTAATTATGTATAAGATATGTTATTTAATTATGTATGAGATATGTTATGCTATGGAATAGAACTGTCCCGAGAGCAGAAAAGCTTGTTGATGCTACACGATATCGTTTAACTTCGAGTGCTGTTTTGGCATACAACGGTACACGTGTAGCAATCGTTTTTGCTCTCGGGACAGATTCACCTTGAAACATATGCATAAATGGCGTATATCAAAATAACCACGAGAAGATGCTCTAAACAACAGCAAAATAGAAACCTTGGATGCAAAAATGATAGTCAGCCAAAACAAAAAAGTTCGACAAATTTCTTGCAGTTCCTTTAAGAGAGCGTGTGTTGGTGTAGGGTGTAGCAATAAGTGTAGCGATGTGTTGTCACATACATTGAAAATGAATCCTACTGAAACTAAGAAGACAAATCCGAGTGTTATGTTCAAATACTCTTCTTTTCTGTTCATTCGTGGACTCTTTCAGTCAATACAGAAAGTCTCGAAGGAGAGAAAAACATTGAGGCCTTCTGGATGAACAGCAGGAATTCAGGAACGACTTGAAAAAGGGGGTGCGAACATAACAATTAATCGAGCACCTTACTTATGTCCGTTCTTTACTTAAATAAGACTCATTTTTCATTGTGTTAAAAACACATCTGCAAACTCTTCCATGCAGGTAGAGGTGTAGGGTAGGTTACATGTAATCGATGGGTATTAATTTTTGTCACCAAATTTAGAAAGCGTTAAGTAAATAACTGAAGATGATTTGGTAGAGAACGACTTCTACATTTTGAGGAAAGCTCAATCGCTAAATTGGAAGCCACCAAAATTGAAAGGAGAAATACCGGTTACGGGCAAATGTTATGCAGATATGAGACTCACATGAAGCTCCTATTTGATTATTATAAAGGTTAAATATAGCAAAATTTGTACAAACCAACTATCTGTTCCGGTATAGCCGTAGAGGTTTCGGCAGATGGAGTTTATTGGCGGTGGCCGAAAAATGTCATCGTCATCAACCAATCCGAGCTTATATGTTAGAGTGATCGCTTCAAAAAAAAACTTCAGTTGTTGGAAGAACAGCCCAAAGGTGAGCAAATGGACAGCAAAAGGCAAATTCCTTTCAGGCAAACTAGAACAAACGAGTCATAACTGAAGTACCAAAACCTCAGGAAACTGGAACTAACACCGTATTGCACTTGCGGTGAGAAAAAGATGAAGGAACCAGTCTATTGCGATGAAAATGGAGAGAAAATAGGAAAGATTGGCTTCACCGACAAACCCACCAACGAAGAGATTTGAATTTGGCGTAAGTGGCGGAACTGCCACGGCGGCCGCCTGTGGCCTGGTGACCAGTGCCTCACGGCGCGACCCGGTGCGAGCCGGTCCCTAGCGCTACCAGGTTTTCAATAGCGGTCGCCCCACGAAACGGCCCAGGCCTGCTATCATTGACATTTTATCTTTTCTGTTCATTCAGCCAACTCATTGAGACCGTTTCATGATATTTCATGTATAGTTAAGAGAGTTTAGTGGTGAGCAAAAATACGACCTCAGCCGGGAGTTGAACCTACGTTTCATACATACCGAGGACGTGCGTTATCACTGCACCACTGAGGTACATTTCCGCCACACTTCATTCTTTTACAGCTATCACAGAGATAATGAAGAATGAGTGATGGCGCGAATGTACCTCGGTAGTGTAGTAATAGCACGCGTCTCGGTATGAATGAAACGAGGGTTCGACCCCCGCCTGAGGTCGCATTTTTGCTCACCACTCAAATCTCTTAGGTATATCTACGTTATTCATTGAACTTTTGCTTTATGAGGTAGATTACCTCTTGCTGCAAATTCAAATCATCGCCCTCAATGGCTGTTCACACTTTCTCAGTGAGCAACATCTTAACAATCTGCAAACAAATTTCAACTCTTCCTCTTTGTCTACATGTGGAGATTGCTGCGGAGCTATTTTTGGTTTTGGAACTGAGTGTTTGATTGCCCATATAGCTATACATCACCTAATATTGATAATACACTTTTTACGACTTTATTCAATCTATCTATCCATTATTTCTTACTGTGCAAATCGCACAACTTTTACCATTCAGATCATCAGCTCACTTTCATCGCTTGACTCAATATTTGTCTTCTTAATAAATGTCGTACTGGTGGAACACATACTGTTTAAATCCCAAGGACAGCTGGCGTGGGCCGTTCCATCAGGCTACCGGTATTGATAACTGGATAGTGCTGGGGACCGGCTCACGTCGGATGGAGCTGTGGCTCACTGGCCACCCGACCACATACCGCCGCCTTGCCAATCCCGCCAATTCCGCCGATATCAAATCTCTTTGTTGGTGGGGTTGCGGATAGATCAAACCCATCCTGGTTACTCTCCATTTTCACCTCCATAGACCGTTTACTTTGATTTTAGCACATGGCTAATGCATTTCGGTGTTATTATTAGATTGTTTAGGTCTTGGATTTTGATCATGACTTGTCTACTGTAGTTCATCCTAAAGGGACTTGTCTTTTGCTGTCCATTTGCTCACCATTGGACTTTCTCCCAGCAACTGAGTTATTTTCTTTGAAGAGATCATTTCAATATACAAACCTGGAATGAGTGATGACAAGCCTTCCCCGTTTTTGGGCGATCGCCATCATACGCCATCTGCCATCACTTTTACGGCTGTACCGTGTTTTTACTCATAGTGAAAGCCATGTAAACTAAGAAACAGGTCTAAGTAAGGTGCTTGGTCATTTGTTATGTTTAGACACACTTCTCTTCAACTCATTCTTGGTCTCTTGCGGTTCTTCCGAAGAGCCTCAATGGTTTCTCGCTGCCATGAGACTTTCTGCAAAAAGTACAAAAGTCCACGAATGATTAGAAAGGAAGAGTGTCTAAACTTAACAAATGCCTAACAACTTATCACAAATTTTAATATGCCAAATAAGCATTTTGAGCCATACACCTCATGTGACCTGCTAAGATGGGCTGACTTATAGAGTTTGATGCACGTGTTTCGATCTTGCTCTCTCGTTAGTCGAACAATTACCCTTTCTCGTCTTTAGCTAATTTCTGTGGATGCTCCAGTTCCCACGCTAAGAGTTAGCGACGACAAACGTTTTACACTCTATGTCCAGTGAAATTATCACCCGGCACAGAATGTTGTACACTCGAATGCTCTTGGCTATTATATTAAATATACAATATCGTCTGTTTCAAGTGTTTTCTTAAGACCACAGGTCAAATACTAATACGCCAAATAATCGTTTTTGAGCCACTCTAGTGAATAACACTCTGTGTTCGGTGACGTGAGGACTGGAGCACACACAGGATTGGCAAAAGACAAGAAAGGATAACTGCCCTGCTAGCGAGACCGCAAGGTCGAAACATGTGTATCGGACTCTGTAAGTCAGCCCATTTTAACAACCCACACGACATGCGTGGCTCAAAAGTGATTATTTGGCATATTGTAAACTGAGCTGTGGTCTTAAAAAAACACTCGAAGGGAAAGTTATCGAAATCTGTTTTCTATTTAATCCAGTAGGATCCTGTTTAGAGCAGCTTTTTGCGGTCATATTCACATAGGAAACTTATGCATATGTTTTAAGATGAATCTGTCCCGAGAGTAAAAACGATTGTTGATGAAGTAAACGAGTATCCTTGCATGCCAAAGCAGCACTTGAGTCTTAAACGAAACTTGTGTAGCATTAACAATCGTTTTTGGTCTTGGAGCATTACCATCTGATAGCATATGTATAAGTTTTACATGTCAAAGTAACCGCAAGAATGTGCTCTAAACAACGGTAGAAGCAGCTGCGTATAAATACCTGAAGAATAAGCAGCAGAACACGAGAAAGTCCGTGATTTCTAGCCAATCCAGTAAAAGAGTTCAGCGATGTATTGTTACATACAATGAAACTGAATTGTACTGAAGTTCAAAAACAAATCTGAGATAAGCTACCACAGCATTTGTTATGTTCAGATACTATCCCTTTCTATTCATTCGTCGGCGCCTGCAGTTTATACAGAAAGTCGCGAGGCTGCAAGAAACCATTAAGGCCTTCTGGGCGAACGGCAAGAGTCCAAGAATAAACTGAAGAAGAGGGTGTTTGAAGATATTAGCTGACTGATAATTTTACTTAAATCTGTTCTCTTTATTTTGAAAAAGGTTTAGTTTTCATTGTATTTATAGACATACGGCAAACTCTCCTCTACAGGTAGTTCAAAGGTGAATTTTATGTGACAAGTGAACATTTGGATTGATTTTTTCATTGGATTGTCATCAGATATAGGCAGTACAGATCGCGTGACGAATCTGGTTTGGCATGGGATGTTTCTTAGACTTTGAAGGAGGCGAAATCTTTGAATCGTTGAAAGGAGAAGCGCCAACTAGGTGCAGTTTTCTTCCAAACAAAGGGCAGATTGTAAGGTCTTTTCCGAGGACATGTCGCAGTTTACTCAAGGTCGAACGTTTAGGTTTCTTTCGTATAAGCGTTTGCTTCGCATAAGGTAATTGTTGACACGCTTGATTGTTTTCGTATTACAGTGGCAGTTGGAGTATCAGATGTTATTAGGTTGTGTAAGAAGTTTGCATTGTTTTGGTTTTTAATACGATTTTCCTAAGGAAATTGCGTGATGTTGCTACCTTTAAATTGCGCATTTTCTTGAAAGCTTTTCATATGTATTTTGCCCGTGCTTGCTTTAAGATGTACGGGACTTCTCGGTTATAAAGGAGCAATTGAATATTCGACCACACTCGCTGTACAAGAGTTATTCGTCGAAGTAATAGTAAACATTGTAAAGCGTAAATCCGTGCCTACAGCATTATGCAGACGGTTGTTCAAAGCATCCTTTTGTAAAGCTGTGAAATTCAAAATAAAGTTGTTCCATGCGACCGCGCCTTTTCTTTTCTCATCTAGCTTATATTTCTCTGGACAAATCTCCTTCCTTCGAGTGCTAGTACTCTTTCGATAGCACAAGTCTCGAAGATGTTGAAAGTTGTTTGCTTTTTGGAAAGGCGGTTTTGATAGCAATGTGGAAGGAAAAAAAGCATCTGTGTTTTGCTTCTCGTCGGCAGATCTACTCATACGTCAGGTGCACTGCTATTGGAGTGAACGACAGTTTCGCATTATTCTCACTAACCCAATATGTGGTACAGAATCTTCGTTTTGCTGAAGTCTCTTTCAAAGCTTAATAGTTTATTTCAAAGATTAATCTATACCATCCTTATTACTGACCGTATTTGTTTATATTTATTTATTCACACGACCCTTCATCACAATTTTTATTACGTGGATATCGGTACTTCAAGCATCCGAATCGTTTTCATTCTTCTTCTTGAATAGCATAGACTACTGCTCGAGCAAATCTTCTTGCAAGGTGGAAAATACCCTGGCTGTGGTTTTCAATAAGGAGTTGTTCTTGGCTGCCGAAGAATGTTAAGGTGGAACTGCTCCACACGCGCCACAACGAGCATCCCAACCACTCGCCCACAGCGCCCCTGTCGTTGACTATGGAAAGTATTATTTTATTCTTTTGATAGCTCAAGAAACTTTCGTTATATTTATTAATTTTCTACTCTTTTCACTCTTGTATATCTACTTTATTCGTTGAGCTTCAGCTTTATGGACTACATCACCTCTTGTTGTAAGTTCAGATTATCCCCTGAAATTGCTGTGCCCAATTTCTCAGTTAAAAAATCTTGTCAATTTACAGTTCTATTCTTTCTCGTATGACAGCATGTGGAGAATGTTGCGGAGGTGTTATTGGTTTTGTAATTAAAGGTTCGTTGGTCCATATGGCTGTACATCACCTGATATAATTTGTACACTTTTTATTTCTTCATTTAATCTATATAAGTGTTTCGGTACTTTTTAGCCAAGCTGCCTTTCGACCCTTTAGAAAAACCTTATTTTGAGCTTGTTTTAGACGATTAAACAATCATCCAATTGATAAATCAAAGAAATTTCAATGATATATCTCATATTCACAAGGCCTTCTGAAATGAGTTCAAGTAAACATTCGATAGTTCAGATCATAAGAATTTTGGTGGTGTATTTTATCTCCGAAAACGCCTCATTATTTGCGCTAAAAAAGCAAAAATGATCTTTTCTTCCTCATTCAAAGATATGTCGCTGACCAAATTTTCCTTTTTAGTTTTGATAATATATCGATATATTAGATTTCAGAAAATTCTATAATCTACTTGGTTTTGATTATCGACTTCGCACCAAGCTGTAACAGCCGAAAGAACATTGAGCTTTACAAAACGGGAAAAGTACCAAGTGTGAAACTCAATTTTTTTGGTCGTATGAAGCACTAAGAATTTGTTCAAAGGACTAAAAGCATTAATGGAATCCTTGAAATTTGGTCTATGGTTTCGTTTACAAAATCATAGGGGGAGACGCTTTGCTCAGCGAGAAATCTCAGCACAAGTACAAATTATTGTTTCACTCTTTCAGCGCAAAAACAAGGCCTTTTAGAAATTGAAATACACCATTAAAAATCATTTGAGTTAGGCTATCGATCGAATTTCCGAATATAGAAAAGACCAAAAAATAATTTTTCTTAATGAGTCGAATTGAAGAGGGGATAGTTGAAGTAATCTGTTTTCGATGAACTTAATCTTCTTTTGGCTGTTACATCGTAATACCAGGTCTGTCATCAAAGCAAAGAAGTCACTGGCATTCCTGAGATTTGACCTCTCGACTGATTGATAAAACATCGAAGGAAAAGCTTTGATCAGCAAGAAATG